AAAAAAGAAGTAAATTGATGAATCTCTATTGATTGACTCAATAATCAGGTTCCACATTCTAATTTTAGCAAGAAACTTTTATTTTTGTTGAATATTTTTTAAATTATATTGTTTTAATGGTTGGCAAGTATAGTGCTATAAGTTACAGGTTTGTATTTGTAACTTAAATTTTTTTATAAAAAAATTCAAAAAATTCTTGACGAATCATAATGAATTAGTATTGAACCTAATGATTTGAATACAGATATTTGTTTTTGTTCACTGGTTCTGTGGATACAGAATCCAAGACATTTCAAAAAGCAAAATCTTGATTCCAATTTAATTCGAAAAAATTTTTTGACACACTTTGAAAAACTCATTTGAAATAAAGTTAAGGAGAACTTATATAATTTTTTCTAAAATAGAATTAAATCAATACAAAATAACTAATACAGATTTATTTAACCACTGTTCATAACAACACTGTATTCAAACCACTATATTCATTATCTGCCAATATTAAACATATTTATAAATTTCTGTTTTTCTAAACAGTTATTTTCTATGTATGAATGTATCTTTAAGTATATTGATAGGTATCAAAAGAGTTTTAACATTGATCCCCTATACCTACATACTGTACACTGTTATAATAGGGGACAAAGGGGGGCTGGTTATTCCTCTTATTAAAGGAATACTCACATACATTGTGTTTATTATTTATCCCCAGTGTTACCCTATTTGTCTATTGACACAAACAACCATTAATATTCAGAAGAATTAAGCAATGTTTCAACAGATTTTCCTTGCACTCCTACGCAATCTTTGAATATTTTGGAGAATATGATTTTACATCAGGTCGTTTTTGCTTTAAAAGATTGTTAGTTCCTGGGATTGTTTCTATTGACTGTGACTTGTTTAGGAAACATTTCCATGGACTGTGACCCTATATAGGATTTTTTTTTCATGGACTGTGACCTTGTATAGGTTAGTATTTACCTCCATGTACTGTGACCTTATATAGGATATATTTCCATGGACTGTGACCTTATTATAGGAAAGTCTTTACCTTCATGGACTGTGACCTTATAGAATAGTTTATAGAATAGTTTATAGAATAGTTTTTATGTCCATGGACTGTGACCTTGTACATGGTAGTTTTTATGTCCATGGACTGTAATCTTGTACAGGATGCACTGTGATTTTAAAGAATTTATTTCCATGTACAGGATAGTATTTACCTCTATGGACTTTGACCTTATGTAGGATATATCTTCATGGACTGTGACAACAATTAGGATCTATTTCCATTGACTAACCTTATATGCTGAAGAACATGTAGTATAAAACATTTATTCAATATTAATGGAAATGAACACAAATGATAGAATGAGTTGATCACATAACATCCAAATTTATATAAAGATTTACAGTGTAATATAAACAATAATACAATATATTATATAAATTATTTCAAAATTTTACACTTATCACAAATTTAATGGTAAATAATTATTAAATGATACTATTGTATATTAACTGCCATTTAAATACAAATGAATCAGTTAACAAATTTGAAACAAAATGAATACAACATTGCTGTAGAGTACAAATAAATCTTTTTCAAAAGCCAGTTGAAAATTTAAAAAATCGTTAGATTAATGTAGTGATATCTAACCCACAACTTGAATGCAAATGAAATTAGACAAATAAAAAATTAACTAAATTTAATTGAACAGAAAAAATGATAATATATAAACAGTATATTAATAATTTGTGTTATAGTTTATTAGCTACCCGTCTGGCTGGATATAGTGTATATTATTACGACAAAAAAATCTTCCAATTTCAAAATCAACCTTTCCTCAACTACACGCACATAACAATGTTCCAAACAAAGTAAATAAAGAAAGTAGCCTTCATGAATCATAACTTGTCAACTTCGGACTATTGTCACTTCCAGAGCATTATAAATACTTTATTTATGAAACTGAATGAGCTCCATCGGTCAAGAGCACAAAAATTAAGATGACTGTTACTCTAGAAGTATTGAATACATATAACAATAATGAACAAGCTGATACTATGTGCTTAGAATATGCCCAATGGTCTGTAAATGAAGGCTTGACATGCACAAGAGTTAATCATATGACATATAATAATGTGCATTGCAGGAACCACAGAGGTCTGAATGAAAATTGGAATGGTGCTATCAGTGTCCCCAATACACAAAAAAAAAAAAATTAAAAAACCTCTCAACAATCCCTTTAAGAAAAAAAAAGGATATGGGTTGAAATTGGTAATATATAAGAAATCACTGAAGATCAAAGGGTGAATAACTTGAATAACAAATACACTATATCCAGCCTAGCAATGCAATACATAATCATTAATAATATTTACATCTCTGTATTATTTACATATTATTTGTTTATCTATAACCTTGCAAAGATCTTATTGGTACATTTAGAAGTAAAGCTGGTCCTGATATCTACAGCTGCAAGATCATTTTTTTAAGCTTCTTGAAAAAAAAAAAAAAATTCATTAAACATATTCATCAAATAATTTTTTAACTGCAGATAGATCTTAATTTCAGTGTCCCTTAGCACTTTAACAGTACATATTTATTTAATTGTGTGGGAACTGAAAGTCAGATATCAATTTTGAAATGTGATGTGGGGAGTTTGAACTTGAACTTAAAGTAAATTCAAGATGACTACATGTATATCTATTTAAAAGGATTTGTGATGTCACCAAATACCATTATAATGATGTTTCTACAAAATAAGGACTTTAATTGACATTTTTAGAATATTTTCAAACTTGCGTAAAATCATAATATATTTACATACGAACTAAGCAAAATTTAACTTAACAAAAAATAATCCAAACACCTAATATTCATTTACCTTAAACATATATTTTTAATCTGAAAACCTGCAGATACATAAAGGTATCTAATTTTGAAGTTCTTATTCAGAGAAGCCTTAGCACAATACTGCTTTAAGTGTTTGTATTTCAAAAATCAAGAATTTTAAATTAGCAAAGGCACATGCCATGTTTAATATAACCGCGGTAGACAAGAGTTGTATCATCTTTACAACGTCAAGCTATTATTAACTCTGTCTAATACCTTGATATCATTAACCACTTTTCCAGTTACCGGTACTGAAGTTTGTAAATGAAGCCAATCCTAGTCCTTAAACACGTGCAGTCATATTTTTTCAGTCTTTGATTCTCTGATTTGCTATATTCCATGGCATCCAATCAAATTGCTGCATTAAGAAGCTTTCGCGGTTTAAGAAAAGTGATCAATGATGTCAAGGTATTAGATAGATAAATTAACGTGTGGTGGTGTTACATGAGTTTAAGAAAAGTCTATTTCCATCGCTAGTGCAAAATTTCCAATGGTCTATATTAACACAATTTTTTTTATTTTTAACAACAGTCCATAATTATTCAGATCATGATAAATATAAAATTAACAAGGGAGCACTCAAATATGAGCAAATTTAATATAGATTAACAAATAAACAAAAAATAAAATCTATAAGCTGTACATCAAGTCAATACCAAGGTTGAGTTCACATATGAGCAGTATCAGTCTATAAATTCTGAAATATTCTGATCAACAACCTATCCATCCAGCAGATTAACAGGCTGAAAGCTACAGCTAGACTAATCATTAATATTAAATGATTTAAATTATGATGAGATGAAAGAAGGCAAAGTTTATATTACAAAACACAAATAGTGATAAACTTATAGAAAAATATAATTTCATGATTTACAATGGAATTTAAACATTCCAAAATGTGCATTTTACTTTTTTATAACTCCTAACGCTGGTATGTTCAATTTCTCAGCTTTCAATTGCTTATAAAAATTATATTCTCAATTTTTGCAAATATTTTAATCAAAATACTATCAAAAAATTTTTTCAAATAATGTTGCATTTATTTTCAGAAACCTACTTTCCAATTTTAAGTTCCATTTTAAGTCTTATTTCATATACTTATATAAATGAAATTTTCCATTAAATTAAACATTTTAAATTCTTAGGAATAATCATTCATGTTATATTAATTACAGGGATATATTCTTATAAATATTTGCCTTTCTAGCTGATAGAGCTCAATTCATAGTATTTTTAGAAATGACATCAAATATCTGATTTGTATGTTATTTAAGCAATACTTCAAGGTGAAAACGGGACAGTCTGTAGACCCTATCCTTATTAACTTTCCCTAGTTAAAGTAGTTCTGGAAAATTCTGTGAGAATGGTCAGAATATTTAGAGTGTCAACACACCTTTAAATTGTTCTGAAATGATCTGTACCAGTTGTCTGTTTTTAATTATAAAAAGTGATAAGGACAGTTAAAACAAATTGTATCAATTAGGAAAGCAATTATTTATAAAAGTATATCCTTTAAAATATTTAAGATCTTTCAGTATTCAATTATTCATAATTCTTATTATATTCAATATTTTCCCCAATTCTTAACCGTATTTAATAATATGCCATTGTAATTTAATTCAATAATTCTTAATTTTTATTTAAGTCAATATTACTTTCAGTTGGATGTTATATTATAATATCATACATTATATCTAAAAAATTATAGAGAGAACACAATCAATGGCTGCCTTCATTTGGCTAAATGGAAAGTAGAAAATCGAATTTGAACACAAGATCAGTAGATTTTTATATATTCTGTAGTTCTAAATCTCGGCGTCTCTTGTCACCATTTTTATATCTTGGTCCTTTACCGTGAGCTGGTCCTCCATGGGAGGGTCCACTGTAAGGTGGTGGGGGATCCTGAAAAAAACATTGTTCGTCATGATACAGAACTCATAATATAAAAGGAGCATTAGCACTAGAAAGGCAAGAATAACACTATTCACAACAATGTCAAACATAAAAGGATGTGAATAACTGCAGTGACCAATTAGAGAAATTCTTACCAGAGCAGCAGCATTAGCAGATTGTTTCTTGATATCAAAAGCAATTATTCAGAAGACTATATGTCTAAGTGAAGTTCATATTTACTTACCGAAAAGTTTCCTTGCGGATTACGTCTATTTTGTTTATTACCACCAGGTGGCGGCGGCTGACTGTGCTGGCCACGACGTGGTAATGTTAGTTTACGAGCAGCTGCTTTACGTGGATTACTACTAGGTGTATGTACAGCACATACTTTAATAAAAACTCCCATTACTACCACTAAACCTATAGCCATCAATAATACTGCCCACCAATTTTCCTATAATAATAATGATACAAATAATGATAATAATGACTAAACCTATAGCCATCAATAATAATGCCCACCAATTTTACTATAATAATAATGATATAAATAATGATAATAATAATAATTACTAAACTTATAGTCATCAATAATACTGCTCACGAAGTTTCCTATAATAATAATGATATCAATAATGATGATAATAATAATGACTAAACCTATAGCCATCAATAATACTGACCACCATTTTTCCTATAATAATAATGATATAAATAATGACTAAATCTATAGCCATCAATAATACTGCCCACCACTTTTCCTATAATAATAAGGATATCAATAATGATAATAATGACTAAACTTATAGCCATCAATAATACTGCCCACCAATTTTCATATAGTAATAATGATATAAATAATGATAATAATGACTAAACTTAAAACCATCAATAATACTGGCCACCAAGTTTCCTATTATAATAATGATATCAATAATGAAAATAATGACTAAACCTATAGCCATCAATAATAATGCCCACCAAGTTTCCTATAATGATATCAATAATGATAATAATGACCAAACCTATAGCCATCAATAATACTGGCCACCAAGTTTTCTATTATAATAATGATATCAATAATGATAATAATAATAATGACTAAACCTATAGCCATCAATAATACTGCTCATCAATTTTCCTATAACAATAATGTTATAAATAATGATAATAATGACTAAACTTATAGCCATCAATAATACTGCTCACCAATTTTCTTATAATAATAATGTTATAAATAATGATAATAATGACTAAACCTATAGCCATCAATAATACTGCCCAACAATTTTCCTATAATAATAAGGATTTAAATAATGATAATAATAATAATGACTAACCCTATAGCCATCAATAATACTGCTCACCAATTTTCCTATAATAATAATAATTCAAATAGTTACTAACCTCTATCCAATCTTTAATGGTCTGTAAATTTTTGGGATCAAATATAAGATTTTTTAATCTAGCTAATGGTCCTTCAGCATCTACACCTCGACAACGATGGAAGACATCACAATACCCACGGAAATTATCACATGGAGAACCTAAAAATAAATATGATCGACTGTAAAATTCAGTATATAAAATTCGAGAATATTTTGTTTTGGATCAAAATGAAATGAACTTTATTTAGCCGAGTTGGTCAATGAAGAGGAGAAACACCATGCTGTGTACAAAATTTTACTAGTACAGCAGAATTAAGTGAATCTTTACAATATCCTGTATAACTCGCTATGTACTCACTTTTTAAATAAATTATACACATGACAAAAAAATCGAGGGCACATTTTAGTCACATAGGCATAAAGAAATAATCTTGGATTATAAAACATACCAGCTGGAAGCTGTACTCCTATATCTTTATTACCACTTGATGACTGTGAGATATTATCTAATAAATCACTAAAATCTTTATTCTCCTGTTTAGCTAATGCATCTTTATTTTTTGAACTAATACAATCTCCTGTTTGAGGATTTTCTGCAATAAAACGGCACAAGTTAGACATATATATATTCTCATAAAGTTCAATAAATGTCCTTATATCAACAAAACTTTATATGACCTTATAAAATCTTTAGTTAATGTAGTCGATCATACCTTTTACACAGTCACACAACGGTCTACGTATTATAAACTTTTTCTTATACCTTGACTACAATAGCCACTTTTCTTGTATCATGCAATGTAGCTATTTGATTAGATTGTACATCAGTCAGAGTCCTTAACAGAAAGACTTTCTGAGGTTTTGTAGTATTTGCTAGCACACAATCCACTAAAATCACTGCATTTACAAACAGCTGTGATATAAGAAAAGTGGCTATTGTAGTCAAGGTATAAGACAAAGTTCGTAATACCTTGACCATTGTGAAGATGACCTTTACCAACGGGATCAATGAAATAATTTCCTCTCAATCTAGAACATGATATACTTACTACAAGCTATAAAACATAATTCTTCCTTAGATGGACCATTATCACCTTCAGTTGACGTGAGAAAACATTCACCCCAATCAATTCTTAAACAAACTGAGCCACGACATTCCTAAAATACATGATAGAAATAGTTGTCAATTGAACTAATTAATTAATTCTACTGTTACAGATATTACTGAAAGACATTAATGATACATCGCCCCTTCATGTATTGCCTCTCTCCAATTTTCCCCAAATCTATTCCCATTTCACCCCCTATTCTGTCCCTTGCCAATTCTCTTTCCATTTTACCCTTTCCCACAGAGCCTTTTTTTTTTTCATTTCTCCCATTCCTACCCTTCAACTTATTCCCAATTCGCCCCAATTCCCAATTGTGAAATAAGAGGGGGCCATGAGGAAAGGGTAAGATTGGTAAGGAGCAAATTATGGAAGGGGTGAATTGGGGAAAAAGCAAATTGGTACCACTGTCTCGGTTCCTGTGATTCTTAAAGTGATTTTGACATTATTATGGTGAATACCAACTGGCCATACCTGGTTGACCATCAAAAAAGCAGTATTAATACATACCCCTTCCAAACAAACTTGAGTTTTATCATTGCAGAAAGTTTTATTAGGTTGTCTTCCTGGTTCAGGACATGATGAACTTCCTCCTGTAACTCTGGTTAAGGAAATTGACTGTTAAAATTCCGCAGAACGTAATCATCCATTACCAGTATGCATTGATTATCACACAAAATAGTAAGCATACACCCCTTACTGGACCTTTGTCAAGTCAGTATTTGGTTATTTAAAGGGAATGTAAGAGGTTTTCTAAATTTTTTATAGGTATCCAGGAAACTGATAGCTTCAATTTGAACCATTCTAATTTCCATTCACATGTCTGAGGTTCCATATACTAGGTGTTGATGACGTCACTTATCGCAAAGGGGCTTATAAGTTATATGATACAAGCATATTTTGTGATCAGGATGCACAGTATAAGGTTTTTGTATCTACATGGTTTTATATCAACTATCTTTTTACCCTCGTGGTTTTAAATCAACTAGGTTTTTACCCTCGTGGTTTTATATCAACTAGGTTTTTACCCTTATGGCTTTATATCAACTAGGTTTTTACCCTCATGGTTTTATATCAACTAGGTTTTTACCCTCATGGTTTTATATCAACTAGTATTTTACCCTCATGGCTTTATATCAACTAGTATTTTACCCTCATGGCTTTATATCAACTAGGTTTTTACCCTCTTGGTTTTATATCAACTAGGTTTTTACCCTTATGGCTTTATCTCAACTAGGTTTTTACCCTCATGGTTTTATATCAACTAGGATTTTACCCTCATGGTTTTATATCAACTAGATTGTTAAAAGGATATTGACATAATGATTCTTTGGTACAAGAATCAGATGGTCGACAGACTTCTGATTTTGGCAAAAATTCACATTCAACACTACAACATGGCCCTGCTGTTGGACTGAAAAAAAACATACAAAAAAGTAAAAATAATTGATTTACATAAAGTGTAGTACTAGTACAATGATTATTGAATAAAAATAACAGTTATTGTTATACATAAATTGTGATGAAATTACTGCTGTATAAAAGTAATTGTCATACATTAAGTGTGACGTAGTGACTGCTGTGTAAAAGTAATTGTCATACATAAATTGTGATGAAATTACTGCTATATAAAAGTAATTGTCATACATTAAGTGTGATGTAGTGACTGCTGTGTAAAAGTAATTGTCATACATAAATTGTGATGAAATTACTGCTATATAAAAGTAATTGTCATACATTAAGTGTGATGTAGTGACTGCTGTGTAAAAGTAATTGTCATACATTAAGTGTGATGTGACTGCTGTATAAAAGTAATCGTCATACAAAAATTGTGATGTAGTGACTGCTGTATAAAAGTAATTGTCATACATAAAGAGTGGTACAGCAACTAATGTTTAAAAGAAAACGTATTATGAATTAACTATGGAACATTGACTGAAGCATTGAAGTAAAATAATTGTCCCTCAGGAAATATAACACAGTATCACAAAAGTAATTGTCATACATAAAAAAAATGATGAAGAATCCACTACGTCAGTAAAAGTAATTGTCAAATAGACTGAAAGAAATTGTAAAGAGATTTTCGTAATTTTTATGTGTAACAGGGACACTGATAGCATCAATTTATGCCATTCCATCTGTGGTGACGTCATAAAAGCACAGTTTTAGTGGAATTGCAGGAACCACAGACATCGGATTGAAAATTGGAAAGGTGCAAATAGATGCTATAAGTGAACTCGATAGGCATAAAAATTTATAAAACTCTTTAAAATTCCTTTAATGTACAAAAAAAAGTAATCCTTATAAAGTAATTGTACCTGCATATTTTGTTGGGTCTTCTTGTACATTCTTTACCTTCCGAATTTTTAGCATAACAACATTTATCAGTACAATCAGATACATAGCCACAATCACACTCTTCACCCTCTTCCACCAATCCATTACCACAGAAAGCAGTGGTTGAGGCTAAAATAATAAAACATTAAAGTCACTGATCATTGTTTACTACAAAACTAAAAATACAAATTCTGTGGTGTGCTTTCTTGTTAAAATGTATAGGCATCATAATTTGGTTTGTCCAAACCCTACAACCAAATATCAAATGGGGACCAACATAATGTTCACTAGGGTGATACTCGATTGGAGAGTTTCTGAACAGGTTTTATTCTGAATGTGTAGAATCACCAACCAAGCAGCCCTAATATATTCAAACATTCCCTCCTCTACCAAAAAATTTAAGTATTTTCGTTCACTAAGACAATATAGAATATGTGTGGGACGCTGTTGGTGATATTTTAACCAATCAACACAACATCTTTCATAAAAGACGTGTATTTTATTCATGTGATTCACCGAATGCTGTATCCATAAAGCATGTGGATTGTAAAGTTGTATGAATATTTATTGCTTTATCCCCGATATGAAATAAACTGACCACAGTGCAACACAGTAGAAACGTTGGATATTTAAAAAAGATGATGATATTCTAACTAACTTACATTGAAAACAATTGACCTTGCCATTATTTTTGTTAATAACTGCATCTAAAACTCTGGTAATATTATCTTTACTACATTTAGAGAAGTTGTCGTTGTTATCTTTATCACCCATAGTAGCACTGGAGAACATAATGTAGTTACCCATGGCAGCTTGTGGATCACTGGTACCATAGGGTGCACACTCAACACCAGTGTCATGCTACAATAAATATATGTTATTAGTAATGGCATTGGTGCTGGCCGACATTGGTTCAAGTTGATATCACAATATTAAGCATAAATGTATCAGGATATGGGTATATATTGCGATATATATATTCAGTCTGATTTTAACTGGTTTCTTAATCATAAATTTGTTCTTTTCTATATATGTTTTATATGTAAGAAAAAACAACCTTTACTATCATGAAAATAAGAGTTTCAAATATCAAGTACTTGTTAAAATTGTCCATGATAAAAAATTTGATGATATATCATGATAACTACCATACATGATAATATTTCAGTATTTTTTAACCAGGTGGTATGGTATTACTATAAATATAAATTCCAATACCAGAATTTATCTTAATACAGGTACATTGTCCTTAGCTAGCACCATACATCGCTAAATAGATACATAGTGATATGACATGCCATAATAGATATATCGTATCGCTTGTGTTTCGATACTTGATGAAAAGCATGAACTTTATGTTATAGATTTCTCCATTCTCCTGTATTGGAACAGTCCCATTTTCAGGCATTTTTAACATAACATTCATCACTGACTGGAATAACAAGGCAGAATGTTTCTAACTAATTGAATCACTGCCGGAGATTCATGTAGGATAAAATAGGTCAGATGACTTACAGGTGATCCAAAATTATGTCCAACTTCATGGGCAAAGGTTAAATGAGAAACTCTGGAGGGCACTTTTTTACCATAATTGACAATTGTAACAATACCAGTATTCAAACTTTTACCAACTTCGATATCATTTTCTGGATACTTTTTATACTTTTCACATATACCACCAGCAGCTCCTGTAAATACAATTAAAACTTAACATTATATCTGAAATTCAATTTTGGAAAGCTAACCCTCATTCTATTACTGTCCTGATGATGATTATCTATCCAAAATACAAAATCTAACTGAATTACAGATTTAGATATTTCAAAAATTATGCCCTGCATCGAATATCAAATATACATTGAGTACAAATAAAATAGATGAATTTCATGAGATATAAAAAAACACAATTACTTAGATTTAAAGGGACAAGTTTGCCATTTTGGCAGAGTCTTAAGAGTCGTCTCTTTATCTTTCAAAGATGGATAATTGTGGACATAGATTTGAAGGCTCAAATTTCGACGGTGAGCTGTGAACACTATTACTGCTTGGCTTAGCTAAATAATTCTGTTTCTGAGACAAGGTACGATTGGTCAAATGGATGGCGAATCTGTCCCTTTAAATCATATTATGACTTATAGAGTCACATGAGCTAAAAAACTTTTTGGAATTAAAACCCAACTTCACCTTAGAAAGTAGATGTAGAGTAAGCTAGACAAGTAATTATTACATAACTGCTTTAAGTAGCTTATATAAATAAACTTACTTGTGGCAGCTCCAACCCAGGCCAGACCAAGTGTACCTTGATTAAAGTCACGATAGGTAAAAACATAGGCTAAGCAGAAATCATCATGGTTATCTAGTGAGTTTAAATTGAGGAAATTACTGACATCAATATTACTATTACAATATGCTGTTTGAGCTGCAGTATTACATTTCTGCCCAGTATTTGTCATTATCTATAAATATAAACAATATAAATATAAATAATATAAATATAAATAATATATACCTAAACAATATAAATATAAATAATATAAATATATATAAATATATATAATATAAATGTAAACAATATAAATATAAACAATATAAATAATATAAATAAATATAAATAATATAAATGATATCAATAAATAATATAAATAATATATATCAATAATATAAATATAAACCAATATAAATATAAATATAAATAATATAAATATAAACCAATATAAATATAAATTATATAAATGTAAACAATATAAATGTAAACCAATATAAATATAAACAATATAAATATAAACCCATATAAATGATACATAAATAATAAATAATACATAAATATCATCAGTCTAACAAAAATTAGACCAAATTTTAGTTCTGTTTTTAATTAGCTTTTATTTTCAGTTAGGGTGTAACGACGATCCTCTTGAACAGTCTTCCACTTGATGACACCGCCGACCAATCAAATTGCTTCCCTCTCGTATGCCAGGATTTTGTGACGCGAACAAAAGGTGCATTGAGTGTCAAATGCTTCTCAGCATACATCTTTGGTCCAAATCACAAAATCCCAGCATTGGTGAGGGAAGAAACCTGGCTGGCAGTATCATCAAACGAATGACAGTTCAAGAGTGGCGCCTTGAAATTGAAAAAAGTACAAATTTAAGTTTTTTAAAGAAAAAAGGTGAAATGAAAAGGGTCAACCCCTGTCAAATGAAATCCCAGGTACTTACGCTAGTTCTTTGTACTACAAAATTAACACCACTCCATTGTATATTACGATCATATGTTTCAAATACTGTACGAGAATATATTTCATTAATAGCAGCTACATGGCTGGAGAAAAAGGCGATGATCTCTTCTTTTGTTCTTTCATCAGTCTACAATATATTTCAAATCAATTGTTCATCATCATATAAGCTTATCTACTTTCTATCTTCTCTGTGATTAAATTAAATTGTTTGAAAAGTGTAGCTTTAACTGTTTTCACAAACAAACAATTCTTTATGCATTTAACTAAGTCAAGGGTAATAACTCAAAAACCATTCATCAAAATATAGTTAAATTCAAACATGAAAATCATAGAAAACTGAGCTCTTAAAACTGTAAAAGGATGGACATAATTCAAACCAGAATTTAAAAAAAAATTCCTTACCAAACCCGTTTATCAAATTTCTCATTTTTAACATGATTCCATAGCATAGGATCGGATCGTAGGTATAAATTACAAGTATTTTTAATTCCCAGATTATCTCTGCGTGTTCGATGATATTTTTCGCTATCTTGCTCATTACTTTCTCTAGCATAAATATTACTGGCCTCATATACTCTATGCTGAAATAATGTAAACATTTTATATTAGCTTGGACAATCATGCAAAGCTTGGCCCAAATCTGACATGCAAAGATCAACACAAATTCTGACATGTAGAGAATGGCCCAAATCTGACATGCAGAGATTGGCCCAAATCTGACATGCAGAGATTGGCCAAAATCTGACATGTATGCAAAGATTAGATAAATCTGACATGCAGAGATTAGCCTAAATCTGACATGCAGAGATTAGCCCAAATCTGACATGCAAAGATTAGCCCAAATCTGACTTGCAGAAATTATTCCAAATCTGACATGCAGAGATAAGCCAAAATCTGACAGCAGAGATTAGGCCAAATCTGACATGCACATTAGGCCAAATCTGACATGCACAGATTAGGCAAAATCTGACATGCAGAGATTAGCCCAAATCTGACATGCAAAGATTAGCCCAAATCTGAAAAACAGAAATTAGCCCAAATCTGCATTGGCCCAAATCTGACATGCAAAGATAAGACAAATCAAGCTTTACTCGTTCCACCAACTTGATATAGAGATAGGATATTGGCATATTTAGGGCCAGATATAAAATGTACTTTTTATGAAAGTTGAGCATGATCATTATTTTGGATCACATGACAAAAACAAAATTCATACATTCTTCATTATACAATGAAGTCAGTTCTGAAAATAGGAGAATTAAAAGCTAAAGTTTGTACCAAAAAGTTGAAGAACAGACAAACATACCCTTTCAGCTCTATTAGGTTTAAAATTAGCAGATTCAGCAATTTCTGCCATTTTTTGTTTATGAGCATCTAACCCACATGATCCTATTACTTTCTCCATTTCTCTTCTTTTTCTATATTAATAAAATTTACAGTGTAAATATTAAGGCCAGTTGATACTATGTTAAGTGAAAGAGCAAAGCGAAAATAAAGAAGCTAAACGTTTCATCTGTCTTTGATTAATGACAAAGATCAAAGTGAAGCTTAGAAGTAGGACCACACTTTCACACTGCCAAGAAAAGATATCTAGATAAATTTTTATTGTTAGTAACATGTCATGTCACAGTTGACAGAATTCAAAATGTTCATCATTACAAAATATGAACATAGGCCTAATAACAATATAATTTTCAGTTTTATCTTCCGATGCATATCCAAAAGTAGACATCATTTTATACCCCATGTGATATTGTCAATTATTAGCTGGAACACTTACTGATAAGGATCCAGATCCATGTGTTTTTCAGAATAAATAACTGAATGAAATTCAGGATTTTTAAGATATATTTCTGCAGGATCTATATGGTATATAGCATCCCCAGGGATACGAATGAAACCTCTTGCTGTTCCATTAATAACTGCCATATGAGCATAACTTGTTGGTACATCTGCAATAAAAATTATACATATACAATATATACTAATACCCCTTTTTAAATGAAAATTAAAAGAAACAATATAACAAATGGGGGGCCATGGTTCGTCTTAAGAAAAGACGAGTCGTCATATTAACTTACAAACGTGTAATTCTGGACACACATGGACTTGATGGCTCAAATTTCGATATTGAGCTATGAACATTATTACGGATTGGCTTAGCATAAAAATTCCCATTTCTGAGACATACATATTGCTCTTCATATTGCTCCATTTTAGAAAGTTGACAGTTTAAGGACCATCATAGATTATGGCTGCGCGTAAGAAGGTCAAAAATATCAATTCTCCCAATAACCATAACACAAAAATTAAATAAGACAGAGAATTGTAACAAACTTTTATACAAAAAAAAAATTGAGAAAAAAAAGGGTAAAATACTTTAATCTCACCAAACCTACTTTGGTGAAAAAATCATATCACTCTGAAAACAATTAGTCTTAAGGCATATCTAGATTTTTAAATTTAAGGTGGACTCAAACCCAAGGCGCTAAATTACATGGCTTACCTGTAAGATGACCATGATATATAAATGATGTATCAATATAGGATTCTGTTTTACCATCCTCATTTTTATGACGATGTGTATCACTAAATATAGTTTTATCTTGCTTTAATTTTATATTAAAATCTCTGAAAATAAATCATTAAATTTGGGTTACTGTTTGATAAAACATGAACTCATATAGGCATATTTTGGACTTGGGATTTTGAATGCAAAATTTGTAAGTATATGAATGCACAATATTGATTTCTGCATTATCGAGGGCAACAGAAGACATAAGTAATTACCTGTTTTGCATATTATTGAACAGATAAAGGGCTAAATAGTTCATGGATTTCTCATTGCTTACTTTACAGTTTAAGTGAGACATCCCTTAAGTTGCCATCATTTTAAAGGAACACTATCTTTTAGAATGGAAGTAAAATTTAAAGTCTCAAACTTGGTCAACATGCGTATATATTCATCAGTTGGACTTACCAGGTGCCATGACTAAAGAATAGAATTTCTATATAAGACGATATAAACTTAATAATTATTGAAACACTCTTCTTCTAAGTATGTTACTTACTAAAAATAATGGATTATTACTTAGTTTAATGGCTTTATTGGATTATAGAAAGATTTTGCTGTAGAAGCTTAGTTTTGACACCAGGTAAATCCACTGATAAACAAAGACTCTTGGCCAAGTTTAAAATTTTTATTTTTTGGTCATCCTAAGAAGTAGTATACCTTTAAAATATTCAGATATTTTCTCTTTGTCAAAAACTTACTCACCTATCAAATGCTTTAAATTTGAGGTAAAGATGCGGTTCAATAGAACGTTTAACTCTTTCATGATTAGCATGAAACTGTTTGGTATCATAATTTAATGGTTCATAATGATGAATATAATCATCTAATTTATGGAATTCTGAAAAAGAAATTTCCATATTGTGCTACATTTTCTATGTTCTATCATGAATGTTTTACTAAAGATTGTGTTTAAAATCTCTCCCTATCTGTTACTTATAACACATCAAATCTTTATTCCTAATAACATTTTTTACAATGAAATTACTATGTTTTATAGCTCCTTATAGTTTTATAAGCTTATATAACATGAGTCAGAATTGGGTTCAAATCCAAAGTGACAATGTTGTGCCTAAAATTCAGCTCATAGGCACCTACATATGCAAAACTTTAAACCAAAAATTGTAACTTCTTTTAAGCCAAAGAACAAACACTTTATACAATATTGAACTGATGAATGCCGAAGGGAAGTATTGATAGTACAGGTTGACAGACAGACCAACTATAAGGACCACTACTTGAAACAGACGACAGTAAAATAACAAAAGACTAATACCGGATAACTGAAATCGGTCAATCAGTAAATATCAAGTGACTAGCAAACAGAATACAATCTGAGCTACTTAAATTACTTCTTATAACATCAGATATCACCTTTCTTTTTAACATAAAGATGATATTATACTAAATACTAACAATAACAATGGCTGAAAGATCTCAGGTTTAATGCCTAGTTTCTAGGTTGCTATTAGCCCAACAAATCGACAAATCAAGATTAGGCCAGGCTCAAAAGGTCTGGAGCTGTTTCGATCCATTGGATCCTTAGTTTTTGAGAATTTTCACCATGACAAAAGTCAAATTTGGCAAAACTTTTGGTATCTATACAAAGTTGAGCCATTAGTAAGTCCATCAAGACATTCCAAATATTTTGCAATAAAAGTCGAGGTGGGGTCTTAACTTACGCAGTTGTACAAAGAAAAGTCAGACTATGTTGCCATATAAGCTTATTTAATGATTTCAGATTTATCTAACTCTAATGGTATTTTGAATTGCGGGTTTCGTTTTGCAGTTTGATTTATTAATATTTTGGAAGTTTTTTTTTATGGTAATGGTCTACATGTCAGATCCTAATATGAAAGACAAATAAAGAATAAGAATAAACTTTTAACTCAAAAAGTTGATGAATTATCTTTTATTTTACTGAACTCCAATAATGATTGTTCTGAATTTGTTGACAGGCACTAGTAAATGTTTTGAAAAAAAAAATGAAAGTGGCTTATGTTATTGCTTTAAGAAAAAATGAAAGTGGCTTTTGTTCTTGTTTTGGAAAATCAAAGAAGAATATGTATCAAATGACCCAACAAACAGTTCTTAAAGATGGGTAAGTGTCAAATTAAGCAAACTATTTGATTAATTGATGTTTCTAATGTATTATCATATATTCTCAATCATATAATTTCTTATTGCATATAACCAATCATAAATTTAATGTCTATGTAAGTACAGTCTAGATAAACAAAAAAAAAACTTTTTGGCCTTTTTTGATCATGACGATAATATCTGAAACAAACTGGTATTTTTCCAAGTCATTAGAACACCTCTACTTTCTATACAAGTATTATTAGCATTTGCATTTTCATTTTCATAAATGAAAATAAGGGAACCCATCTTTAATACAGTATCTTAGTTACCAAAAGATAAAGCTTACATATTTCATAAAAATCAACAAATTTCAACTTCTCCACCCATTTCTGCATTACCATAACACATAGAACAGTCAATAATATCCTACTTAACTTATATAATAAGTGAATATTTCAACAAGGCAACAAAAAAAATGACCTATTTATAACACCTCAAGTGAAATGTCAATCAAAGTTAATTAACAAATCATATGGTGATTATGATAATGATAGCTACAAATTTTATGACAATATTAAGGTGATGAAACCTTATCTTAGTGAGCTTGTCGTGTTAAACTTCGAAACAATTTTTTTAATCAAAAACTGAGCCATGAATCACCACAGTATATCTTATGACATTAGCTTACATGTGTGTTCTAATTGATTTGAAAATTATATGCAGTTTCAAGCATGGCATTTTGTACTGACTAATTTAAAACCTTCTCTCAAATACCAGTAACTAAGATTTTTGCTTTGCATAATTCACAAAATCACAATAATGAGAGATGAAGATAACAAAGTTATTTACAGAAATATGTGTGTGTAGTTAACGCTGATTGGTTCATTTGGTCAAAATTGAGTTCTCATTATATTAATAGCTAATATTTCTTTCTTATTCAAGGTTACTATTAAGGGAAGGTCTTTCCTTTCGTCATCACAATTCAGATTTCAACAACCACTTGTATGAAAACATTCTTAACAAGCTTGAAATATGCCTATAGATCCTAGATCAAATTATATTATTGTCTGAGCAAATCAAAACGTTTCTTGAATTTTTTTAAGTTTTTAAATGAGAATGGGAATATCAGCCTCAAATAGTACTGATAGTCTTAAAATGTCTTTGCATTGATAAAAATTTAATCTTTTTGTAAGTTTACATTGAAAAGAAACATATTTCTCTCCTAGAAATTTAAACCCCAAAAAGTCAAAAATTTTGTCCTCTGTAAAAACAAATTTTGAAGACATCATTTTTATCAACATTCTAAGGCTTATAGTAAGTTGTAAGGTTTTAAATAGGACTAACATTCCTGAACTGAACATTTAACAAGTAGGCCTAACAAATAATAAATCTTGTCTGTCCTTTATGGCTTTAGTAATGACTTAAATAGGCTAGTCCTAAATGTAGCCTAAGTGCATTTATGAGACGAAACTGATCAATTTCCCTGATACTGGTAGCACCTAGAATGTATTGCACTTTTATGACAGAGCAAACAGCTGATTATTAAATGAAAACAACCAAAAATCAATAACAACACCAAATTCCATGGCATGAAAGAATAGGCCGTCTTCATTCAAAAGAGAAAATCATTAAATTCGGGATCTTCTTAATTCATTTCTATTTTGGTTCTATTTCTGTAGCAACAGTAGAAATTATTTAAATCAATAGTTTAACAAACAACTTATTTATAAATCTATGACTAGGCAAGACAGTCTTTTCTATTTGACTGATCAACTATATTGTTTGACCTCTTTTTCAGTCAGTTTTATTTTCTCTGTACTTTACCTCCGTAAGTAATCACCAGAGTGAACATAAACCATTCTCTTAATCCCATTTTATCTACACTTCCTGCCGATTAACGGTGATCTCACTGAAAGACGTTGGATAATCCTTATCTCTGGCAATTTTTCAGCCCCAATCAAGACATATAATCCTTCATAAAACCATTTAATTAGAGATCGAACTCGTTCGACAAGCCATTTTCTTTTTTTCTGTTTGTGTTCATGTAGAGCGCATGTGCGTGACCTGAGCTAGACGTCACGAGGGATGATAACTGCATCCGGGTTAAAAGATATCAACAGTTTTATCTGTTATTCGAGTCATAATTGCTTAAAGGTCTGATTTAATATCCTTGCCAGACAAATAACAATTAAAATTGGATTTAGTGAGTCTGATGACCACCTCGGTGATAATATGATACCAACAATGTAACATTGAATTTGAATTGGAAACGTAGACCTTAGCCTATTGCTCACCCTGCCAAAAAATAACAACCACACCCAATGATATTGATAGTTTGATGAGAAATTTTAATTTCATTAATCTTCTTCTTCTGTCTATATACACATACAAACATCAGGTAGCTGCAATGCTGCAGAGCTTCCGAAGAATAGTCGAAATAAGCTGTAGTACATAACCATTGTATATCTCTAGGAGCACCAGAAAAACCGCAAAGATTATTCTAAGGCCTTGTGGATTCAGAAATCTCCGTCGATTGCTCTCGAAATATTCAAAACTTTACTTATGGAGTATATTTCATTTTATAGTGGACGAGGTTCCAATAACAAAGATGAATAAAGCTAAAACATAATGGGAATAAATACGATTTTTACAATGTTAACATACGTATTTTTGTGCTTGCCTGAGCGTAAGGGGCTAAACGCTCACTGGTGCATGACATTTATTTTAGTGGTCCCACTCAACAGTCATTGATTGGTAGGCATACTTTTTACGGATGAGTTGATAAATCGAATATTACATATACATGTAGATAAAAAATTATCGACTTAAAAACCTCTTCGATCCTCCCATGTGCTCTATAATAAGTTTGGAAAAGAATAAATCTTAACACGGTGAATTATTTCTCCGTGGAACCCTTCTGTGATCAATATACTTCAAACCTCTTCGATAGTGCATAATACAGAAGTGGAATTGGTGTCGCTTGGGAAGAACAAAATATCATATTTATGTGTGCGCAGAATATTTATTGGGGGAATCAAACCCGGCTGGAAGATCATACTTATTGAAAATTTGACCTTGAAATGATGTATTCTGAAGTATCTGAATGAGTATGTAACGGTCATTTCGGTAATTAATCTATAAAGCATACAGAAAACGGCTCAGTTTTGTATGTTTTGAGGTCAGGCGGGGCCATGGTCATTTCCCAAAAATGGAGAGTGGTGGAGACACGATATGTTTGGTCCCTACCACTTTTTGTGGCTAATATATGGTTATTAAAATGCATGGTTTAGTGGATGATATTGAAGTTAGCCTACTCTCGAAATGCGCGTAAATGGCAGTCCACTTTTCAAAATTTTCTTTCCCATATCAACTGCAGTATAGTCGCTCATATTGCTGAAATGAGCACTCGTTCGTTCCAACTGAAATCTTAAGGACGCTCGGATATAATACACGAGGCTTTGTGATGAAGTTATGTGTAAAAAATATGATAAATTGTAGGTTAGAATAAAGAGAAGTGACAGATAGAAGCTATAAATACTAGATTGTCATCAATCAAAAACAATACAGCTTGTCAATCTATATACTGCTCTCTATTGTCACTCTTATGTCTCTGTCCATAACAATTCGCTTTGGTCAATTGTATACATTTGCATATTTTTCACGATAATCAATGTAATCGAAGCCGTGACTTAAATTCCATCGTTCGCCATTTTCGGGAGGTTTTGAATACATATATAAATAGTCTCCGGAAGTATTAAAACTGCACGAAAACCGCATA